TGAGTTTTACCTATGGGAAAATAACAGGAAAATATTGTTTTCCGCTTTATCTAAAAGAAATTTATCCTTTTAATGGTTAACTATGTCTCAAACGCAACATATTGCAACAAAAATTGAAAAACCAGGGGTGAACAGGGTTGAAAATCAGGACGACATTTCCCCAAAAACATGTGGGTGGATTGTTTTCACCTTCGCTGTCTCAAATTCCAAACTATTTTATCATCTCTAAGAGCTCTTTTCCCATAGGTAATGCAATGGCCTATCATATGCACCTGCTTAAATCCTCAGAAAACAGACAAAATCCAACATATGACTCTCTGAAATCTGTTGCGATACTTTCCGTGCTCCTTTGAGACCTGATATTTCTCAATTTTTCAAATATTGCACTTGTTAAAATTCTTAAACTTCCTTAAAATTCATCTTCAGTATGTTTTACATCTTAGTTTCACACTCTAAAAGTATATGTTTCATCATAGAAGTATTGATGAAAAAGCCATAAGGGTCATCCATGGCTATACCTAAAATTCGTAAATTTGAAACCTTATATTTACAATTTTTCAAATTTTGGACTTGTTTTAAATCATTAACTTCCTTAAAACCCATCTAAATTATGTTTTACATCTTTAGTTCCATACTTAAAAACCATAAATATCATCAAAGAGGGATGGATCTAGAAACTATAGGGGTCAGCCATGGCTATAGCTGGAATTCTTAAATTTGAAACCTTACATTTACAATTTTTCGAATTTTGGACTTGTTTAAAACCTATAACTTCCTTAAAACCCATCTAATTTATGTTTTACATCTTAGTTTCACACTATGAAAGCATAAATATCATCAAAGATGGATGGATCTAGAAACAATATGGGTCAGCCATGGCTATACCTGGAATTCGTAAATTTGAAACCTTATATTTACAATTTTTCAAATTTTGGACTTGTTTAAAACCTTTAACTTCCTTAAAACCCATCTAAATTATGTTTTACATCTTAGTTCCACAGTATAAAACCATAAATATCATCATAGAGGGATGGATCTAGAAACTATAGGGGTCAGCTATAGTCATACACAAAATCCAGTTGTCAAAAATGTCAAATTTTTCGAAAAATCAACAATTTTTTTTTCAGCTCCTACTTCTTCAATGGCTTTGCATCTTTCAGGGTTACTAACCCTGCTATTGGGCACTTCACATGAATTTTTTCAACCTCTTACAGTGTCTAATTAAAAAGTTAGAATCAAAACAGTAAGAAAATGAGTCACGAATTTGCCCCCTGGGGTACACACTTTGTACTGATATTCAAATTCTTTAGGAGTAATCAGCATCAATAATACTGCAAATGATTCATATATATAATATCTATGTATGTCACTTACAAACATCAAAATATCTAAGGTTATTTAGTGTGAACAATTTTTTCCCCAGGGTAGGGTGTTTTTGGGGGGTGGGGGGCTAACTCCTCAAAAAAAAGAACTTCCTACCACTCTGCGAAGCTATCACCTAGGTGGAAATTTCATCCAAGACTCTCCCCTATCTGAAAATACTGCCAAACCAACTATACACCATTTATTGAGAATTTTCCTCCTCGCCCCTTGAGTATCATCCATTATGAGATCACACAATTCACATGACCATTATAATAGTTCACAACAGTCATCAGCCCATACTATTTGACAATTTAATGTGTTTAATAGCTTACTTGACAACTTATTATGTATTTAAACATGGTTAATGGGGGCTATTATATCTAGTTTTTTATTTCCCCTGGGTGCCTTGATTTCAAGTTACTATGGCAACCATTTCTTATTTAATGTTTCTGTTATTCTAAATATTGTTTGCTGGATTAATAAAACATCCCATGTTGCACATTCTGTAAACATTTCATAGGAAAATATTGAAGAATAAAGAAATTAGAGAGATATTATGAGAACTTTATGATCAACCCTCGTATGCAACGTATGACAGTAAAACGGATGTGATATATTTGCACCTATTGTATCTTTGAATCAAATGGAGTAAATACAGCCATGGTTCTTACTTATTTAAGATGTAAAACATCATTCTAATATTTAGAAGTTGAATTTAGCGATTTGATAGTAAATATCGCATTAACAGATTAAGTACCCTTTATTCTGCAAACATGAGTGCCTGGAACAACAGGAGTTTATTAACTTATCCCCTACATTTTCAGACATCTTCGGGTCTTTGCTCGGTGGTAGATTGTATATAGGTGGGTAGAATTTCCCCCCATGTATATGTATCCACCCAAGGTGTGGCTACAGGAGAGGGGGTTGAGTCTTAAATATACATTTATGTATATTTTGGAAAATCAATTAAAGGTGCTGATCTAAGAGAATAGTTTATAAAGACTGACATCTATTTAAGGAATAAATAATGGTAGGCCATTCAATATGGTGAAATTCAGCATGACGAGTTGGACAGAGTGTCCTACAAAGCACAAACTGAAGGTGAGTGCATTGTATTTGTACTGACATTCTGTCCAACGAGTGTAGAATTGAACATATTGAATGGCCTATCCTTATTTACTGTATTCCGATTCGAACAGAAAAATTAAAACATTGTTCAGAAATTTGGGGATCGGGGTCCATAAAATAACCAAACTTGCTGTTATTTTTGTCATTCATAGGTTTGACGTCACAATATATAGATACCCGGGTGATTGAATAGAGCATGGTTGTGTTTCTATGGAGAATTAGAGAACATTCTATATTGGTTATGTCGCATTCTGATTGGTTGAGAAATTCAATTAGAGCACAGTCATGTTTGAATTGTTGGCAATGAAGCTTAGATGAGGCTTTAGACCAAAATTGAAAATCTAATTCCCCATTTTTCTTCTTTTTTTGGGGGGGGGGTAACATTACATACCTTGTGATATGGGGACTCCATTGGTATACCAATGGGGAAATTAAATTTAATCAGACATGTTATTCCATATGATATATAATTCATATCTTCATTTACCAATGAAACATACACTATTATCCCATGATACGACTACTTCCCAGTGAACACCGGGAAATATTTCTGATATTAAAAAAATTAACCATTTTCCACATTTGTCTTAAAACGTTTAATTAAAGATAAAACAGATGCATCTGATTTTCAAATCCAATCACACATTTTGTTAATCTTGACCAAACATGTTCAAAAAATAACACATCAAGTGACATTAAGTTTCTTTAAAAATAGACCTAAATGAAGCCTTAAATCAAGATCAGCTATTTGCAGCTTATGAAACCTATTGATAACCGTAAGTTTTCCATATTTATATTCTATTTATGTATTTAAACCTGATTTATACTGTTTAATTAGCCAGAGATTGACCACAAATAAAATCCCAGGGCAATGGATTCGGACGATCTTAATTCACATCTTGATAATTCATTATGGGGAACATGTCCATCTAGTAATACTGATGAATGCGGACAATGTCAATCTTAACAAACTTCAGAGATTTTTGTGCGTTGATCTGTATTTTTATAGTTTTTTTTTCAATTTTATGTGTTTACCAGTTGAATAATAGAGAATACAATACAACAGACTAGGTGCAAGTAATCTTGATATACATAATTAAAAAATAGGTATGCCTAAAGTACACATAATATTGGTGGATTAAGGGCCCCTTGGGTGGGCCCAGAAAAATATTTTGGCCCAAAGATTTTTTAAGGCCTCAATTAATAGGCCTTTTTGGGCATTATTTGGACTTTTTGGGCCTTATCTTTTGATTTAGGCCAAATTATCAAATAATGGGCCTCAAAATTTCATAATTCTTGGTTTAAGGGGCCCGCATTTGGTTTGGGTCCCTCTCCTTGTTAGCTTCTGGATCAGCCAGTGTATAAAATTAATCTAGAAACATATTTTGTCTTAAAAATTGTTGATCAACTTTGAAAAATGTTAGTGAAGTGACTTTTAGGTTGGGTTAAATCCCCATAGAGCTAATGTTAATTCCCCATAGAGCTAATATTAATTCCCCATAGAGCTAATGTTAATTCCCAATAGAGCTAATGTTAATTCCCCCATAGAGCTAATATTAATTCCCCATAGAGCTAATGTTAATTCCCCATAGAGCTAATATTAATTCCCCATAGAGCTAATGTTAATTCCCCGTAGAGCTAATTTTAATTCCCAATAAAGCTAATGTTAATTCCCCGTAGAGCTAATGTTAATTCCCTATAGAGCTAATGTTAATTCCCTATAGAGCTAATGTTAATTCCCAATAAAGCTAATGTTAATTCCCCATAGAACTAATGTTAATTCCCCGTAGAGCTAACGTTAATTCCCCGTAGAGCTAACGTTAATTCCCCGTAGAGCTAATGTTAATTCCCCATAGAGCTAATGTAAATTCCCTATAGGGCTAATGTTAATTCCCCGTAGAGCTAATGTTAATTCCCCATAGAGCTAATGTCAATTCCCCGTAGAGCTAATGTTAATTCCACATAGAGCTAATGTTAATTCCCCATAGAGCTAATGTTAATTCCCCATAGAGCTAATGTTAATTCCCTATAGAGCTAATGTTAATTCCCCATAGATCTAATGTTAATTCCCCATAGAGCTAATGTTAATTCACCATAGAGCTAATGTTAATTCCCTGTAGAGCTAATGTTAATTCCCTATAGAGCTAATGTTAATTCCCCATAGAGCTAATGTTAATTCCCCGTAGAGCTAATTTTAATTCCCAATAAAGCTAATGTTAATTCCCCATAGAGCTAATGCTAATTCCCTATAGAGCTAATGTTAATTCCCCATAGAGCTAATGTTAATTCCCCATAGAGCTAATGTTAATTCCCCATAGAGCTAATATTAATTCCCCATAGAGCTAATGTTAATTCCCAATAGAGCTAATGTTAATTCCCTATAGAGCTAATGTTAATTCCCTATAGAGCTAATGTTAATTCCCCATAGAGCTAATGTTAATTCCCCATAGAGCTAATGTTAATTCCCTATAGAGCTAATATTAATTTCCCAAAGAGCTAATGTTAATTCACCATAGAGCTAATGTTAAACAATCACAAAAAGTGAAATATCTTTTCTTGTCTGTCTTAGTAATATTTTTTTTCACAAGACTTATTTTCAAATGTTTAATTGTTAATACACAAAAAGTTTAGATAAAAATTGATCGCCATATCCACGTTTTTTGGCTCTGTGATAGGACCAGTTTCTTGTGTTGAGACTCCTACTATGAAAATCCAAATAGAAAAGTTTCAAATGTAACTCACATTTTTCATTTCTAAATAATTCACAATATTTTGTTAACTTCTGGAGGTTTCCCCCAAAAGATTTGACAACGTAAATTGTTTTTTACTTTCTCCATAACTGGCACTTTTTGTTCTGTCCATATCACTGTTTAATTGATTTGACAAAATTGTTTCTGTGATTCTCAAGTCTTTTGTTATATCTTTAATGTCTTCAATTGAAAGGCTATCACCACCAGGGCCGAATTCACGAGGGGATTTGTTAATACTTGTTGCGCTATTACTACGACTCGTGTTAATGCTGTTGTCACTAATGCTGTTTGGGCTAATGCTGTTGGCATTAATACTGCCGGGTTTGATACTGCCATCACTAATGCTGTTGGCGCTAATATTGTAGCTACTGAAACTGCTGGCACTGCTATTATTACAACGCTCCTTCTTGATTACGCTTGACATCCTCAACCTCGCAATAGCCTCACTGTATACAGTATGAGCGAGTTTACTTGAATCAGGAAGACCATGGAATGATTTGGAACGTAATAAACTGTTTGCAAATTTGGATGAAAAACGGTAGGCAACTCGTTCGGATTCTACAAACTGAAGCCTTCCTCTGTTTTGTAAGATTGATGATGTTCTTCCATTGTGCGGAGTTCTTCCAAGTCTTGGGGAAACAGACTTTGATTTCTGAAAAACATAATAATGACAATTATTACCTGTAAGCTATCTTGTTACTTAGCTGAATTAAAATAGATATGCTTGCTGTTTGTCAGTAATTACAGGGTGACACAAATATATATTCCTGTCGGCTGTAAGTAATTACAGGGTGACACAAATAAATATGCTTGCTGGTTGTCAGTTATTATAGGGTGACAAAAATAGATATTCCTGTCGGCTGTAAGTAATTACAGGGTGATACAAATAGATATGCTTGCTGGTTGTCAGTAATTACAGGGTGACACAAAATTACAACCCTCAACGTCAACTGCAAAAAAAAACTTATTTCTTGAAATGCCACTACTATTCTACAGAATGCAACTCTAATTTGATGCAGGTCTCAACTTAAACTAAAATAAGACCTCATTTCTTGCAATGTCATTTTTGGTACAACTGTTTCCTGCATTGTACACTCCATCGACATAAGACAATCTGAGAAGATTTCCTCATAATCGAGATAGCTTTAGGCCACAATCTTATAGGGTATTGCATTTTATACTCAATCTTTGAAACAATGATGATTGAACGGCAATTAAGCATTGAATTGGTACTAATTCAACAGTGGCCAGGAAATTCAATTTATATTTATCTATATCTTTACTTAATTTTTTTCTAACCACAAAAGAGCAGCTTGGCCTCATTTTTCTTAGTGCAGAGTTTGCGACAATGAGTCAATAATGGCGTAATAATATCCACATATAATGTTTCAAATGAGCCAAAAGAGAAGCAATTTGTTCTAAAATTGATGAGTTAGTGCTCATTAGTATAGCCACTGAGTATCAACTTGCTTTTGAATACAATTAAAGGTCATTGGGACTTTTGAGCTGATTAGACACATATACAGGGTGTCTCAAAAGTGTCAAAAAAGTTTTTTTATTTTTAACAGCACAGATAAATCATCACTGATCTGAGAATATAAATATTGAAATGAACAACTAATTAACTAAGGAAATAAATAATATGTTAAAAAACAACTAATTAATCATTAGATATAAACCAGAAGATCTCCACCAAATACATAAATCAGACAATTAATAAGCTATTCACTACCATAGAACAAAGAATGAACTAAAAATGTGTCAACATATTTGCAATTAAAGTAAGAAATGCATAATGGGACCATTTACTTATCATAATCACAAACAAGTCTCAAAGAAAATAGCAAGAATGAACTAAAAATAATTTGCTTTTATATGTGTGCGTTGTGTCAACATATTTGCAATTAAAGTAAGAAATGCATAATGGGACCATTTACTTATCATAATCACAAACAAGTCTCAAAGAAAATAGCAAGAATTAACTAAAAATAATTTGCTTTCATATGTGTGCGTTGTGTCAACAGATTTGCAATTAAAGTAAGAAATGCATAATGGGACCATTTACTTATCATAATCACAAACAAGTCTCAAAGAAAATAGCAAGAATGAACTAAAAATAATTTGCTTTCATATGTGTGCGTTGTGTCAACAGATTTGCAATTAAAGTAAGAAATGCATAATGGGACCATTTACTTATCATAATCACAAACAAGTCTCAAAGAACATAGCAAGAATGAACTAATAAAAATAATTTGTTTTCATATAATCATATGTGTCAACAGATTTGCAATTAAAGTAAGAAATGCATAATGGGACCATTTACTTATCATAATCACAAACAAGTCTCAAAGAACATAGCAAGAATGAACTAATAAAAATAATTTGTTTTCATATAATCATATGTGTCAACAGATTTGCAATTAAAGTAATAAAATACACAATGTAACCATTTACCTATTATAATCACAAACAAGTCTCAAAGAACATAGCAAGAATGAACTAATAAAAATAATTTGTTTTCATATAATGATATGTGTCAACAGATTTGCAATTAAAGTAATAAAATACACAATGTAACCATTTACCTATCATAATCACAAACAAGTCTCAAAGAACATAGCAAGAATGAACTAATAAAAATAATTTGTTTTCGTATGTATGATATGTGTCAACAGATTTGCAATTAAAGTAATAAAATACACAATGTAACCATTTACCTATCATAATCACAAACAAGTCTCAAAGAACATAGCAAGAATGAACTAATAAAAATAATTTGTTTTCGTATGTATGATATGTGTCAACAGATTTGCAATTAAAGTAAGAAAATGGATAATGTAACCATTTACCTATCATAATCACAAACAAGTCTCAAAGAACATAGCAAGAATGAACTAATAAAAATAATTTGTTTTCATATAATGATATGTGTCAACAGATTTGCAATTAAAGTAATAAAATACACAATGTAACCATTTACCTATCATAATCACAAACAAGTCTCAAAGAACATAGCAAGAATGAACTAATAAAAATAATTTGTTTTCATATAATGATATGTGTCAACAGATTTGCAATTAAAGTAATAAAATACACAATGTAACCATTTACCTATCATAATCACAAACAAGTCTCAAAGAAAATAGCAAGAATGAACTAATAAAAATAATTTGTTTTCGTATGTATGATATGTGTCAACAGATTTGCAATTAAAGTAAGAAAATGGATAATGTAACCATTTACCTATCATAATCACAAACAAGTCTCAAAGAACATAGCAAGAATGAACTAATAAAAATAATTTGTTTTCATATAATGATATGTGTCAACAGATTTGCAATTAAAGTAAGAAATGCATAATGGGACCATTTACCTATCATAATCACAAACAAGTCTCAAAGAAAATAGCAAGAATGAACTAAAAATAATTTGTTTTCATACGCATGGTAATTGTCAAGGGATTTGCAATTAAAGTAAGATATATAGCCTTGAGATGTCTGAGGCACCAGGTGACGGAATGTCTCTATTAATTTTTTTCTCATGATTTATGAAATAAATGTCACCTACATAGCCTGTGGATAACTAGGGAATTTATTTCTTAAGGATATATCATTATGACAGAAAAATGGAGGTGTCTCAATGTTTTCTGGATAACTCAACCCCTAGAAAACTCTACAAGCAATTGCAAAATCCCAAATTAGGCAGCCATTTTGATTTTTCCAAGGCCTGAATGAAAAATGAAACAATATTTTTGATCTAATTTGCCTTTGTTTGAGCATAATAAAGCTATACTATAGAAAAATCTCAGAATTGACAAACATTTCAGTTTTCCCAACTCCCTACACAGCCTCTGGAGTGCCAAAAACATGGAATACATGTTAGGCCTTGGAAAATTCAAAATGGCTGCCTAATTTGGGATTTTGCAATTGCTTGTAGAGTTTTCTAGGGGTTGAGTTATCCAGAAAACATTGAGACATCTTTTATGGATAAAAATAAAATTTCAAACAATAATGCTCATTACTTTGAAGTAAAAAAAACGTGATTTTCAAAGCCACCCCTATCTTGAAATTTATTTTTTTCGCATAAAACTATTAACTAACATACATCTTTCCACAAAATACAAAGAAAATCTGTCCACTAGTGTTTTAGTTATTATCCGGACAGATAGACAAACAGATAGACTGACTGATGGATGGATGGATGGATGGATGGATGGCTTTACTACATATCCCTACCAAACTTTCATTCATTGGGATATTCGTACAATAATATAATTTAAACCCACTATTTGTAGAGTTAAACCCACTACATGTATTTGTAGATTTAAAACAAATATTTGTAGAGTTATACCCACTATTTGTAGAGTTAAACCTATTATTTGTAGAGTTAAACCTACTATTTGTAGAGTTATACCCACTATTTGTAGAGTTAAACCTATTATTTGTAGAGTTAAACCTACTATTTGTAGAGTGTAATTATACAATTGAAATGGTTCAATCACAAAAACTTGAGAAACAAAACTGCAAAAAACTAAAGCATAAACAAAATTAGCATTAGTGCATCCATATTAATCTGATTCTCATCAAATCCTCTTTCCAACAACAGATGGCGTATCTATCATAGAAAAGGAGATACAATAGGTATCAGAACTAGATTTTGGAAATTGAACGAGTTCAATTTCAGACTCCAGATCTAGACTTTTTTTAGCCGAGTCATCCAGAATAAGCCAAGTCATCCAAAATAAGCTAAGTCATCCAGAAAAAGATGGATGGATGGATGGATGGATGAAAAGGGAAGGAAGGATACGATAGAATAGGAAGGAACGATAGGATAGAATAGGAAAGAAGGATAGAATAGAAAAGGAAGGATAGGAAGGAGAGGACACGAAGCAAGGGTAGATAGGAAGGGAAGGATAGGATCAGAAAGGAAGGATGGATGCATTTTTCAATATTTTCTTCTCTACTCTTGACTTTCTATCAGGATACCATCAGATCGATTTTTCTTGAAATTTCAAAACGCCATAACTTCCGAACCGGAAGTCGGATCGAAATTTGATTTGCAGATTCGGATTCCTGACAAAATTCTTCCCCTAATTCATAACTCATACGTTAAATTTGGCGAATTTTTATTTTGACCTACTTTTCGGACACGCCATAACTTCGGAACCGGAAGTCGAATCAAAATTTAGTTAGCAGATTTGGTTTTCTGGGAAAATTCTATTCTTAATTCATAACTCAAACGTCAAATTTGGAGAACTTTTTATTTTGACCTACTTTTCGGACACCATATCTCAAAAGTGGGTCAAAATACTTTCTGACGGCAAAAGGCTTACGCTATAAGCACACTCTTGGCTACATGTATACACAATTTCGAGGAATATAATTAAAGTGTAGTGTCAGAATCGCAAAAATAAGGATAAACTATGAATTTGACCTAGATTTTGACCTAGGGATTTTGGTGTCCAAATTTTGAAATTAGGTAGCCTTTGAGGTTCCCTTCTTTCATAGGCTTTCATTATTTTAAGCTGTAATTAGTCTATATCTTGTATTTTACACTTCAAAAAAATCTTTTTTCCCATTGACATAACATGGGGGACCAAATTTAGCGATTTTTGAGCTTTCAAAATGTCATAACTTCCGAACCAGAAGTCGG